GAGAAGGCAGAGACGCAGACGGGTCAGCGGACGAGTCGCAGCGCGTGCTGTGTGATGTGGGACGTACTATGGTATTCTATTCAACTTGACGCGAAATCAATGCAGTACGCGCTGCGACTCGTCCGCTGATCCGTCTGCGTCTCTGCCTTCTCGCCGCGCGACAGGTCTCTTGGCGAGTACCCTACGTTTCCGGTCGATCATCTCTTTTTCGATTGAGGTCATATTTACCAGAGAACACTTCACACTCAAAAACGTTCCATATGGACTTCATGAAGGGCGGGAGCATTAGGCCGATGTCAGACTTTGCGAATCGCGCGCTTCGCTAGCGTCCGCGGTCGCGTTGCGGTACCAGCCAATTGAGTGATTCACTGGCCGCGACGCGACCGCAGACGCTAGCGAATCGCGCGATTCGCAAAGTCTGACATCGGCCTTAGAGCATTAAAATCAGAGTCGTTGAAAGTGACGTACATATTCGCTGCATTCTTTGACAGGGCTTCGAAGAAAAAGGGACCACAACGCTAAAAGACTCATGCTGCGACTTTCACAGGGTAATGACCGCCTCCCGTTGGTGATGAGTGGAGAAACAAGTTTTCTTGGTTCATAAAATGATCATCGGCATATTTAGCAGCTGTTGTGGATTTGCTTAGCGCCGCGGCTTCGAAATCTATCCATTCGCCTAACCGCTAAGTGGGTGCGGCTTCTCTAAGGAGGGGGATGCTAAAAAACCAAGCTTACTTGCGAAGCATCCGCGGGCGTGCCGACAGCAGCAGAGCCACCCATCATAGGAGAATTTCATCTACAGTTCCTTGATCTTAGCTGTGGTTTTGCAGCTGTTATCCGGTACCTTCACCTTTCTATGTCTGAGTTCGGATTTTCGTAAAAAAACGGGATTCCGAAGAAAGGATATTTAATTCTAAGTACTCATTACAGTAAGTACTCATTACTTATTGAAAATCGTCTTAGATATTGCGCTCCCAAAATTTGCTCTACGCAAAAACATTCCGCGATATGAACCGTCTCTAAGGAAACGAGAAAGGTAAAGTAAGTGGTCAGAGTCCATCACCTATGGTTAGTGACGGGGCTTCCTCAAAGGCACATTCCACGATAATTCGAAGGGGTACGATTAACTTTCTCATAGGGGATCAGCTGGGCTCGGGTAAACCCATTATTCCGCTTAATACCTGCCCATGTGCAATGCACGCGCTGAAAGCATATGCCGCCCTCGGTGGCTCCGTCTCACTTGCCTCATCGTTTCATCATATAGATCTTCGTACAGGCGCACATGTACCCAACATAAACTCGCATACAATTTAGCAAAATTCGTCGCGAAAGGCAGGTACTGTCTACGTTCCGACGTTTATCTTTTTGCTCTTTGATGGCGTCCAATAAGAATTCTATAAGTGGTATACTGAACCCTAAGGCACGTCTTTTTCTCGGTGGGAATGTGCCTTTGAGTATAGCTCTTCCTGCTGTTCATTCAACCCCTTAATATTGTTTTGTTGCTCTTCACATTCCCTGTTCTCTATGAATTTCCCACTGAATTTCTTCAGTAGCTGGCTGATAGTTTTATGTAGTTGTAGTCAAATGGAGTGCATTGCATAGGGAAGAAATCAATCCTTAGACTCTCGTGGTCTATCCTTGAACGCTCTAAAGCAATAGCTTCCAGAATACCGACGTTCGACCAGCTCCACGACCTAATAAACCGAAACCACCGACAAAACCCCGCATGTATCCGGTAGTCAGAGCAATGTACGACTACGATGCTCAGGACACGGACGAGTTGTCGTTTTCGGCCAACGACGAAATTGAACTCATGCAAAAAACGTGCGTCGTGGGATCCGATTGATTTTTGGTCGGACACATAATACCGTATCTCTCCGTGCTTAAATTTTCTTTTCTGAAAAGGCTTTTATCAGCGTTTTGCTCTTACTAGTAGAAGTCCTATTTTCGAAACATCAAAAGTTTTAGCCTTTCATATCTTGAAGTTAACTATGCGTCAATTCATTTCCGCTTTGATATTATTTAGCGGTTTACGGGGTCAGATGAGTCCGGATGGTGGCAAGGGAAAATTGGCACCAAAATCGGACTGTTTCCAGCCAATTATGTACAGGAGTGATTTGTGCACTGTCTAAGCAGCAACCGATTCAGGAAGCATCTCCGTTGGGTTTGCTCACTCAAACTCCTCAACGGCTGGACGACAGGCTGCTACTAACGGCGTGATGAAAACCTTCTGACCCACAGCCAACTCTTTCCTGCCTCTAACACGTGTGATGTGGGGGTACACCAGGAGGGAGGCCCGTCGCGCGGCAAGAAGGCAAAGTCAGCGGACGAGTCGCGCGCGTACTATAGGGATTTCGCGTCAAGTTAAATAGAGTGTCCCACTGCACGTCCTACATCGCACACCACGCGCTGCAACTCGTCCGCCGACTCTGCCTTCTTGCCGCGCGACGGGCCTCCTGGAGGTACCCGTGCGATGTGTGTTTCTGAGTAATCGGTACCGAATCATCGACTTTGAACCATTCTAAAAGCGAATAAGTAGGGACTAGGCTCCTGTGACAGAAACGGCAATGAATATTGGGAGGCAGGCAGAGGCACAGAAACCCGTAATGGGATTGGTAAAGCCTTATTACGTCGCCACGGCCGCAGCTTCGGCGCGTAAGCGCCACGATCATCCACTCAGAGACCCCATGTTCTTTTGTAGAAAACTCATTTCCCCTTCACCTTACTTTCAGTTGGTCGTGCCACCTGCCTTTAATCCACACTTCAATTGAGGGTAGACTCCAAGAAATTTCCATACTGGTCTTGTAAAAATTCTTGGAATTTTCGGAGTTTCAGCCTAATTTCATTTTGCATAGCCGATCCGATTCCGATTACTCTTAATAGGCACAAAGAGGACTGTGGAGGCAATTAAGTGCTCGGACATCCCTTGCACACTAGCCTGCCGTCCATTGTGCTGAGGAATGGAAGTGACGCCCACTTTCTAAACCCATGTGATCAATACGAGTTCGCGATTCTACCCTCTCAGCTCAATATTATGTATTTAAATGTAAGATAATAAACATTTACTGTAACAAGGTGGTAACATGACAACAGACAACAACAATAAAAACAATGTGCACAATAACAACAAGTGGTGTTCTGATATTCTTTAGCTTCCCTTTCTCTCTGGAAATAATTTCACTCAAAACAAAACTTTTGACGTCACCAGAATGTCTTTTAGGCGGAGTCCCCAACAGGCCCACCGCGCGGCGAAGCAAGAGACGCAGACGCGGCAAAGGGACGAGTCGCAGCGCATACTGTAGCGGTTAGGCGTCAGGTTAAAGAGAGTGTACCATACTACGTCTCATATCGCACAGCACGCGCTGCAACTCGTCTCTTTGCCGCATCTGCGTCTCTTGCTTCGCCGCGCGGTGGGCCTGTTGGGGGACACCCCTTTATAGTGAGGAATAGGAATAAACACGCCAAGCTGGGTGCTAAGGTTAAAGATGGCAAGGATTCCGCCAATGCCCCAGTCTGGGTTAATGACGCATCAAGAAGCTTGGAGTAACAAGTCCTAAAATGCACAAAATTTCCGCCATAGCACACAATGGTTGAGTCTTGGTGATACTCAGGCGGGAAGTAATCGAAAAAAAACAAAACAAAAAACATCAAAAAACACTTTCCTTCATCTGCAGAATTTCAACATTTTGGGAATTATAGAATCACAACTACAAATTTTCTAAGCGGATTCAAGAGGAAAATCAAAATAAAAAGCTGAAAAGCACTACAAACGTCCGAAATTAAGTGACATTTTCTACGCTCCTCTCTTTTTGAACAATTTCTTCTTTTTCCTTGCCGAACCGTCGTCACCGTTTTGTTGTCTTAACATTAGGAAATTATTTTATATCAAGAGCGGGCACACCAAAAATCGAAGAGACCAACCGTTTTGGAGCGCTTAACGGGCGGCTGTAGATCATCTTGATATCACTGGCCTAAAATAACCAAGTTTCGAGCTACCTATTATAAAAACGTGGCCAATGTAATTACCTTAGCCAGAGTCTTTGTATCAACATTGATTTCATACTGTGAAAGATCTTCAGTTTCTTCCAACAGCGCTTTCTTATCCCGCAGATGACGCTCTCTGATCTCATCGGCAGCCTTATTCAGCTCGTCCTGAAAGTCACCTACTTTGTAATTGCACTCCGAGGGCGCCAAATAATTTTCTTAAAATAAGAAACAACGCTATTACATGGATCTCAACGCGTCTCAGGACAATTGATCAATTGCGAAACTGACACTTTAGATTAAGTTATTCAGATTTCCGTTCGTTCTATCCTCTCACAGAATAGTCAGTATGGCTGCAAAAAAAATGGAAAGTTTAACGAAGAAAAAACTCTAATGATAATCTGAAAATGAAGACCCCCTCTCCCATCCCAAAAAAAGCTGCTGAAACTTCCTATATTTGGCCACGAATTTTTGAATCATCTCCCCAAATCGCGGGCAGGCAATGAAGTGCCCGCGCTGCACTAACGAACTAACGAATAGAAAAAATCTTATAGTGAAACCCTGAATCGCAAACTGGCCTGAGAAAAAACTCTAAATTCAAAAACTTCTGATGTTATTCACAAATAAGCCCTTAAAATCACGATGGTGTACTTTCGTAAACCCTCACACGAAAGAATGAAAAGGAATAAAAGGACTGGCAAAAGAAGGGTATAACACCAGTTGACAAGACAAAGAGAAAGGCTAACCTCGAGACTTTCAGCCAATGGTTTAAGGTGTGACACAGCCAGCGACTGCTGCTCTTTGTCCACATCTCGAGTTTTATCAGGAATGAGTTCACGAATAGAATCCATACACATGGTATCAAACTCATCCGATAACTTCCTGATTGTCTTCGACTGTAGGGCAAAAACCTGCAAAGATTGAAGTGATAATAAATGATTTGTCAGTAATGGCAAGGTAACTGAAGAACAAGTAGCGCAAAATTGAAACCATAAAAGCTTGCCTGGCTCTGAGGAAGATCCAGTTCCTCTTGGACATTCTCAGCGCTCTTGTGCTGCAAACCAAGTCCAAGCAATACCGCAGCTTGTACCGTTGAGAGTTTGACCTTAATTAATGCGAAACAATGAAGCAGTGGTGTAACAGTGTCACGCTAAGTACACATACATTTTCCCTCAACTGATCTCCAAAATACAACCGAGACACAGTTGGCAGCAAATCCGTGATCATTTGATGATCAACCAAATTGCGTGCATATTCCGACAGCCGTTTGAGATCCACATTCGACAAGAACATTGCCAACTGTTCACGAGTGATAGGCTGAAATGATAGCATCAACATAAATAACAGAGGATAAACGAATGATGAAGGAGAAACTAAAACTGATTATAAACTTACTTTTCCTATCACAGTGCAAAGCCGTCGACACTTCCTTGTTCCTCACTTGCAGCAGAGACAAGCCGAGGTTTATCGGCAGTTTCCTAAACTCGAAAGACAGCAAGGAAAGCAGCCTTGTTCGGAATTCACGGAAGTACGCAGCAAGCCAAGGACTGGACGTTTCAGACTGATCTTAAAGATTTCCATTTCATTCGGAGTTGAAGAGATATTTAAAGGTATATTTGTATTCATGCAATATAATAAAATGTGATGCAGAGTTCAGACACCTGTTATTATGTGGATTATCTTTCAAATTTAAAGCCTTCTGGCAAAAATTACCGGTCCTTACGAAACAAAGCTCAAAAGGAAATTATAGTGCGAAAGACGGGTATGGTAAATCGCTGAAGTAATGTTTGCCAACTACCAAATCATATCCCTAAGTTCACCGTTTGGTTAACAAAAGCAGAGCCACGCACCCGAACCCACAACATCACTGACTGCCGTTGTCGCAAAGCTTAGTGGCTAAGAAAATATATGAAGTATAACGGCAAGGGAAAATTTTTTCATATTTTTGAAACGATTTGGAACGTTTTAGTGGTGTCATTCAACGTCGTTAGTGGGCGTTAAAAGGTGGCCCTTACCCAGCGCGCCAAGCAGGCAGGTCCAAACGACGCTCAAAGACGTCATCAATACCCAGACATCGCGACCACTACCTTTATTCATTATGAAAGTTAATGAAGCACCACTTCTCTCCCCTTGTCACTAACGTGATTCCCAGTAAAAGCGCAAGGCAGAATTATTCCACCATATGTAACTACTTTACTACTGCATGAAATCGACGCATTTGAACTCATGGCCAACACACAGTATCAAAAGATAGTGTTCTGAATGGCGGTAAAAACGTCTGCAGTAAACGAATTGATTATCAATTCACAGAAATAATCATTCAGAGAATCCTTTAATATGAAATTTCCATGAAACCCAGAATGCTTCTTGAAAACCCACCATCCAGTCGCTTCAACATAGCACATGTATACTCTCCAGTAAGTGGGCTAGGAGTCTGACGTAGATACACCGGCACAAAACCACTTTTCTTCCAGAACTTCAACAAATTCAGCGTTAAACCAAATGACACTCCTGGAACAAATCGCTTTATCGGTCTAAGATCTCGTTATATGGGAAAACCTATCCCGACCTCCACAAAAGCCCACACTATTTAAAACCAAAGAAATGAAATCTCACCTAAATAGTCCAAACGTTCCGCTTTCCTCTCAGTGAGTCGCATTAGAAGTGGAGGGAGATCTGCTCGCGGTGCTATTTGTTCCTCTAACAATGCTACTGTGTGCCCATCCTGAAAACGACTTGAATATTAAAAGCAAAATTTGATGTACACTGATCATTTTCGAAAGTTACCTTTACAGTCTTTACAGATTCTTTAACACCTTCATCAATCGACGGTACATGACCAAGATAATATTCCTCTAAGAGTTCAAGTGTACGAGAACCGTAACCCATTGACTGGAAGTCAGGATGAACTGCAATTCTGACCACACGTCCACCGCACAATGTCGGGAAATCGCGATCCTAAAGCAAAATAAAGATTTTCAAACCACCTAGGCAAGGCGACCAAGACGACTTATCATTACGTCAACATTTTCTACGGAAAACACACCATGAAGTGTTGAGAAATCGTCCACGGAAGTAAATCACCAGCTGCTCGTTTTCCTTTGTCCATTGCTCCGGATACGGATTCCTTCGATAGATTACCCTCAAGACAAACTTGCGCTAATGCAAGCACCTGGAACCAAATCCCATTTAAAGTTGCAAAACATTAATTACATCTATATGTTTTAGTTCAAGTTCCAGCTTTAAGAGTAGCGGTAGTAAAAATGAAATAATATAGTTTGAAAGCCTATATGAGCACACAAAAGAACGTACCTCCGGTAACGAAGACTGATCTTCTTTCACAGGTGACATCAGAACGAAAAGGTGATGAGCTGGTGCATCGCTAAGCATCTGAAAGATTAACAGCTGAATGTGGACCATTGCAGGAGATTATTATACTATGTACCTGCAAATCATTTGGTGAGTTCTTGTAGTGAGCGGCTACATAGATTGCCATGATTTGTTGCAGAAATGCTTCAGATGCTTTGTGAAATGAGAACAGAGCATCTCGATTGACGATGTACCTTGATAAAGAAATCCCTCCAATCAATGATTGAGGCAAAAAAAACCTGATGAAAACCAAAATCTCCTGCCGACGGATTATTCCTACAATTACAGCGAAAATTCGAGGAAAATGGATTAAAAATGGGTGAAAAGTGGAAATGGATGAGAAAAGTCGATCCTGAAAGACGCGTTGTTTGTTAACTTCTATTTTTCGCCGCAGTTTGCATGGCTAAACTCTCAGCGTGATGCTGGCTTAAAATGGTGATTACGTTTCTGGAAGCTCAGTCAAGGTGAAATGGTGCCGTGATGGTGTATTCAGTACTACAACTGCTTCGACAAGCGATATGCGCGGGTTCGATTTCCGCCTATGGCGGATGTCAGACTTTGCGAATCGAGCGATTCGCTAGCGTCCGCGGTCGCGTCGCGTACAGCCAACCGAGCATTCGCTGTACGCGACGCGACCGCGGACGCTAGCGAATCGCTAGTAGTGAATCCTTGATTCGCAAAGTCTGACATCGGCCTGAGCGGAGTGTTTTACCCATAACCCAGCATCTTTGTGAGAACTCCAAGAAATTCAAAGTCCAATATCAAACTTTCAGAAAACAAAGTGGTTCCAAATTTTGGAAGACAACCTACAATTCGCATTCGCTCGGTGGTGGAGTACCACATGATAGACGCGTGTTGATGTTACCGGCATTCAGACAGAGCACACGATTCAACCACTGCTCGATCTAGAAAACACAACAACCTTAACAGAGCCAATGTTCAGTAATCAAGTAAGCCGAAAAAAATGCTCGCCTCATCACCAGGTTTGTATCGTATGCTTTCCTCCATTGTGAGCTCATGCAGCTTACGACCTGTAATTATTACTATTCGCTAACATATGAGGAACACCATAAATATTAGAAGAAATAGAGAAGTACAAAGTGGTGAAGTAACTAAAACCAGAAACTAAGAGAACCTTTGCTTGACGCCAATTTTTCGCCTTTAACGCTTCCTGCAGCCTGTTGGCGAAGTTGTTGAAGCAATTTCAACGACAAACTTCTTCCCGTACCTTCATAACCATTTATCGTTGAGGCAAGAAACACGATATAAGGACCTGAAATGACATGGGGAGAATTAAACCACTCGACTGTCACGCTCTAATCTCCTAAACGACATGCTTCCGCAGGGTTACGTATAAGCGAGAAAGAATTCTCACCAAAAATCAACTCCTTCACTAATGGCAGAGGTATCGCAGCTGCTTCATCTACGACTAAAAGTTCCGCCTGACCCAACTTTGAAGCATCAGATGGATGTATGTACTGGAAAATGAACGAAATCAAGAATTGTGATTGCTTTAAGTGACTACCTGCCTTGACTGGAATGAAGCAACACTGGAGAATTTTTTCTTTGGTAATTGAAAGTTCCAGAATATGGAAAATGTTGGCAAAAATCTTATAAAACCGTTTCTCTGGCTAAGAACTAGGAAGATTTACTTGACGTTGTGTTTCACACCAGAAGCTCAACCACACGAAGATTTTTTTAGAATGGGCTTATTCACTTATTCACTCACGTGAACCTACCTGAATTGTTTGCCTATGTTCTCTGAAGACGTTCACACGCACAAGAGCTTTTTGGAACTCTGGATTTGTTGATTGAATAAGCTCGTAATCAATATGCTCCTTAAAAGCAACAGGAATGATCCCAAGGTAGGAAGGCATGTGTCAAGCATGTGTATTTTTCTTAAAAATGTGGAAGAAGGTGTAGAGCTCACCTGGTAACCCATCGGTGTCAAATCCTTTCATAACAAACTCAAATAAAGTTCGAAGATTCTCAGGTGAAGGTGATGTGACAAAAATGTTTGAATAACCAAATGCCACTGCTCCAGCCAAAGCCAAACCTGAATATCGAAACTTTTTGGTAGATGGATAGATTACCATTAGGAAGGAGTTTCGAACATTGTGCTTCATGGCCGAGTGGTTTAAAAGTGAAAAGGTACCATGAGACGAATGGTTTTCAAGTGTTGAAAGAGAAAAGGTAGACAAAAGTAAGATTTTTAAGATGTGGACGCCGTATGAGAAAAGTTTACCCAATGAAGCAGATTTTCCTCGACCTCTTGCGGCTGTGATTGAGCAAGTAACATTCAGATCCTTGTCTGTAATCACGTCGAGCAACCTAAACACACTATTAATGAGGTTCCCAAACTTTGGAACTAATAACCGTGCTACCTGAGCAAAGCTTTGCCCTGACAAGCTGTTCGGCATTTACTAAGAAGCGGTCCAATTGGTTTCGTGTCTTTCATTGTGTCCTTGAGCGCCTTTAGTTCCGCTTCTGATGGCGAGACAGCATTCTGTAAAGCCCGTATTTCGAGAGCATAGGCCACACTAGTCAAGAAAACTGTATCAGGATAAGAGCTCCATGTGACTCTTTCAATGCATTGCGGTGGGAGGAAAATAACAAAACACTGCATGCAAAGTTATAAAAGTTGTTGGGTGAACAACATAAGTAAGTTCGGATGAGCAGCAGCAATACATTCTGATCCCAGGATGCCAAAAAAACACAAAAACAACAAAACATCATTCTGCACCAGGATGCCAAAAAATTTCGAGCATCGGCAATTAGGTATTCTCTAGCTTCTTTCTTCGTAAATTGTAATTTTAGCTGTAAATTTGTCAAATTTCATGTGTTTACGAGATTGTTTCGTAGAACTTTACCCTCAGTGGCATCGCGTTTCGACGAAATCGTTCG